GTGACACAAACTCTTAACTTGAACTAGCTTGACTGAACTAATTTGAACTAGCTAGGCGATCCTTTATGGAATCACCTGAGTGAAAAATGGTAAGGGTAGGAATGCCTTCAGGCATGGCTAGATCCAGGGGCCCAAGTGATAGTATCAGATATTACTGTTTTTTGGCTACTTGGATTGGCTTCATTCTCAAGGCTCTATGTAGTGGCAAGTCAGAATCCAGTTAGGAAAATAAATCATTCCAGATTCTTCAGAAGGAAGTAAATACAGGGAATTGGTTCATGGGTAACAGAGGAGCTGAGAAGCCAATAGGAAACAATGAGGCAAACCAGGGGTTAGGAACTACAGGATGCTGCTACTCGGCCAGAAGGACAAAGGGAGGAGGTGGTATTACTACAGTCTAGAAACTGGAGCCCTCTGGAAGGCATAGGCTCACGGTTGGATTGCTCAGAAGTGGCTAGAATCAGAGAATAGATACAACTACTACTGAAGACCCACCATATGCAGAGATAGGGCGATAAATACCCTGGCTTGCCCTCTTCTCCCAGAACTAGTCTTCTGCCAGTGCCTCCCATTAGCCAAACACAGTGATAAGATGGTGAGCAAAGGAGGATGGGAAATGTGGTCCTTGCAGTGCAGAACAGGGCAGAGCGGGGAATGGATTTGAGAACAGACAGACAAAAAACTGGCAGAGCTGTTAGCAACTTGGCAGTTGATAATAACTGCCGAGTCCAGTAGAAAAAAGTTACCAATAGTTCTTGCAAGGGTCCTGTGTGGCTTGGGGTACAGGAGCACCCCGAGCCAATTATATGGACAGTGAAGTACAGTTTGCTGATTGGCCTGTAACTGGGGCTGAGAATGGGGAATGGGCAGGAGGTGAAATGCATGGCGGGCAGGTAAGCTGCAAATGCCCACTCATTCTGACCAAACCACAGAGTGGGCTGCTCTCTGGAATGACGAGAGCCAGGGACTTGAGTGTCATCTCAATGCTCTTTCTCTTGTCTGTTTTCCTTCTTAGTTTTACTCTCCCCATGAGGCTGGGTCCAAGGCTGAGGCAGCTTCAGGCTTGTAATCCTTGAGGAGAGACTGCTCTTCTCTGACAGCTTCCTAATAAAAAGTCCTGGGGCAGAGCTTGATTGGTTGGCTTTGGTCATGTGTCCATCTTTGGGCCAATTGCAGGGTCTGCAGCATGGGGTACTGTGATTGGCTCAGCCAGAATCACATGATTACCTCTGTGGCCCAGAGGGCAGCCTATGTCAGGAGAATCCCTCAACCAAGGTTATGTGAGTTGGGTGGAGGGTGTCCCCAAGAGATGTGAGGCTGCTGTTCTGGGCAAACCAAATTCACCATTCAAGGCCTTGGTTTCTGGCTTGGTGCCTTCACCCTGACCTCTGCTTCTTGACTCTTCAATGAGCAGAAAGAACTAAGGGAACTGGCTGGGCATGGTGGCTCACAGGTGTAATCCCAGCACTTTGAGAGGCCAAGGAGGGAGGATTGCTTGAGCTCAGGAATCTGAGACCAGCCTGGGTAATAGTGAGACCCCACCTCTATGAACAAAACAAAGCAAAAACAAAAAACCAAGAGGTCTGATATTTTCCCAAATTCCCAGAGTGCTGTTGCTGTTCTGTGTATATGATGATCCTTTCTCTTTCTTGTTGGGTGTTAGAGATGTGCAGTTTGCCAGAAACAAAGCAGATGAGGTCTTAGCCTATTTGGCTAAAACAATTTTGCACTGTTGAAAAGGAGACAAAGTAGAAAAGAGGCCAAAAGGAGGAGACGTAGCAGCTCAGAAACAGGTGAAACTCCCTTCTGCTGGAAATCTAAGTTGGATTAACGTCCACTGTAAACTGGAACTAAGCTTTTGGGCACATTGGTTTTTGAGTATTTGACTTGAAAGTTTTTCTTGTGTGCAAATCTGTGTGTGTTTTGTGGGGCCTCTGAGGTATCAACAAGAGATGACATTAGGATGTCTGAGGAGGTTCTCGGCATGTGAATGGGGCTACTAGGGGACCTTGGGGGGTGACTAGCAGAGACTAGAGCGGAAGTAGGGTGACTTTGGAGATGACTGGGGTGACCGAGGTGTCTTGGATAACTTTGAGGGTGCTGTTGAGGGTGTCTGGGAGTGATACTAAGGATTCTAACATGAGTTTTTTGTTTTGTTTTGTTTGTTTATTTGAAACGGAGTCTCCCTCTGTTGCCCAGAATGGAATGCAGTGGTGCGAGCTGGGCTCACTGCAAGCTCCGCCTCCTGGGTTCATGCCATTCTCCTGCCTCAGCCTCCTGAGTAGCTGGGACTACAGGCACCTGCCACCATGCCCGGCTAATTTTTTTTTTTTTTTGTATTTTTAGCAGAGACGGGGTTTCACCATGTTAGCCAGGATGGTCTCTATCTCCTGACCTCTTGATCCGCGCGCCTCAGCCTCCCAAAGTGCTGGAATTACAGGTGTGAGCCACCATGCCCGGCCCTAACATGAGTTGTTATGAGATACCTTTTAGGAGTTCAAGGAGGGTGACCGGGGTGTTTGTGGGGGTGACTCTAGAAATGATTGAGCCTGGGTACAGTGGCTCACACCTGTAATCCCAGCACTTTGGGAAGCCAGTCACCTGAGGTCAGGAGTCTCTACTAAAAATACAAAAATTAGCCGGGCGTGGCAGCAGGTACCTGTAGTATCAGCTAATTGGGAGGCTGGGACAGGAGTATTGCTTGAGCCCAGAGGCAGAGGTTAGAGTGAGCCGAGATCACGCCACTGCACCCCAGCCTGGGCCACAGAGCAAGACTCCATCTCAAAAAAAAAAAAAAAAAAAAGAAGAAAGAAAGAAAGAAAGAAATGATTGAGATGATTCTGCGGGGCAACCTTGAGGATGTGAGTGGGGTGACCTTTGGGGAGTCATCTGTGGGGTGACATTGCGGGGTGTGTGGGATGGATTGGAGAGCGTCTGAGAATTGGGTTTGAGGTTAAGTAGGAGTGATTTTAGACAACTCTAAGGGTATGACGGGGTCCCTGGGGGTGAGCTTGTGAGAGTGGAGTTACTTTGGGGTTTCTAGGGGGTGACTTTGGGGAGGTGAGTAGGGGTGATTTTGAGGATGTGCCAGACTTTGCGGGTGTCTGTTGGGCTGCTTGTGGGTATCAGAAGGGATGACTTTGGAGGGTGACCAAGAAGGGTGTCTGAGGATGACTCTGGGGACCCTGTCCCCCTCTCCCCAGTTCTCATCCATATGAGCGAGGGCTTCATGTTATTAGCTGTGGCCCTGTGCTGAGTCCTCCTCCCACCCACAGCCCTCTCCTCCTGGTCTGTGGTCAGCCACCTGAACATGGCCGACTTTGTCTTCAGTTTCCTCTGCGTCGGCATTGGTAGGTGTTGGCTCCGGGACGGGGGCCCTCCCTAACCCCAGCACTGCTCTCTGGCTTTCCGAGGTGTATCTGGACTTCTGTACTGCTCCCCTTGGGACCTCTGTCTTAGCATGTCTCTGGGGAGCTCTGACTCAGTTCTACTCTATCTGTGGGATGTCTCTCTCTCCCCCACTCTGTTTCCCTTTCTTTTTTGTCCCCTCTCCAGGTATCTTTCTGTCTGTTGTGAGGGCGTGTGTGTGTGTGTGTGTGTGTGTGTCTGCTTGTCACGGAGGGTGGGAGAGGATGTCTCAGTCCCTCTTTTCTTACTGGGGGTCACAGGGCTCACTGTCCAGCCTTCTGTCTGTCTCTGGTCCCACCCCATTGCAGGGCTCCTGATTTGTCTTCAGCCTGACACTCTTTTCAGTTAACTGCAAGGCGGTACACCCAAGCCCGGTGGTGTCCTACCTGGTGACCTCCTACCTGTGCTGGGAAGCCAGCAACTTGATGCTGCGCCCCGGTGAGGGCGAGGCCTCGGGAGGAGGGCGGGGCCTCGGGAGGAGGGCGGGGCCTCGGGAAGCGGGTGGGGCTTAGGGTGGGACTCAGAGTCCAGCGGCCCACCTAGCCATCTCCCAGGAGCCGTGTCCTACCTAAGCCCAGTGAGCATGTGGAGCAGAGGGCAGCCCTTGAATGTGCGACGGCTGAGCTATCGTGGGTGGGCCTTGCAGCAGGGCACAGCAAGGCGGACATCCAAACAGCAGAACTCAGACAGAGACTCCGAGCACACCCTGGGCTCTCAAGGAGGAGACCCAAGCACCTCCCAGGAATAGCACCTGAGCTCTTCAGGACGCTGACCGGTAGCAATGGCCATGCCAACCCCTTCAGCATGGCCATGCCCCGGATATTAGACCTCCCCTCAGGTCCCACCCCCTTAGATCAGGCCACGCCCTCCGAGAGGACCGGTGTCAAACTCCAAACCTCGCTCTAGGGCCTGCCCTTTGCGGCTTTGTCCCTGCCCACTGGGTCCTCATAGCACCGCCACCCCAGAAGTCCAACATCCCCTCCCGTTCTGCAGACATTTGTCCAGCGTCCCACTAAGCTGGCAGTGTGGCTAGTTTGTGTGGCCCTGCCCCTGGTGCCCAACCTTCGAAGGCCACACCCTGAAGCCACTCTCCACCCCCTCAGCCAGGGTGGTCTGCATGGAACTTCTTTCCTGGAGTTCCAGCCTCAGCTCGGATGTCCACCCTTGTCCCCAGGTGGACACAGCACCGCTCAGCATTTGGTGCAAACTCCGCCCTTCTGCGGAACGGGCCCCCCTGACCCGGGAAGGCATGGCTTGCAATAAGATCCCTCTGTACCTTTCCTGGCTTCCCCGCCACAATAAAACACAAGCACTTACTAACCTCTCAGCCTCGGACCCTCCACTGCCCCCCACCTCCCCACCAGGTCAATGTCCATCCTAGCGTGAGTGAACTGGTCTGGCGTCCCTGACTTACCCTTTGGGATCTGAGCCTTTCCCTGACTGTCTGTCTGCACCTGTCACAGCCCCTTCCTTTCCCCACCTGCTGGTGACCTCAGACCTCCAGGCATAAGATTAACACAGCCGGGGTGGCCGCAGCCTCAGCCGAGTGGGTCCAGGTGCACCAAACCTGGAAAGACAGGTGACACGCATTTGATGCACATTCGATTTTACTGGGGGTAGGGGACAGGGCTGGGCATTCAGGAGTTCTCCGCTATGGTGTCCTCGATCCACTTCACATATGACAGCACTCTGACGAAGATAGCAGGCTTATTGGGGGTGCCACAAGGGACGTAGCCCCATGATGTGACACCTTGGAGCACACCATCACACGTCAGCGGGCCCCCTGAATCACCCTGGAAGCACAAGGTGGGAGGGGAGAGTGAGAAAGGTCGATGGGGCCCAAGTTCTGCCTGGGGAGCCCCAGCTCTCAGACAGGGCCTCCAGTGCCTACTCCCAGAGGAAGGTGGGCAGGGGTTCCCACAGAGGGGACTGGGGCTGCAGTCCTGGCCAAGGGGGAAGGGGCCTCAGGGTCCAGCTCCTGCACACGGACCAGGGTCCAGGAGGACAGTGCCTGCAGACAGGTCACGGGGAGGAGGCGCACGACCATCTGCAGGATGCTGCCCCTGCGGGCGCATTGCAGAGGCCACCTCTCCAGGGAGCTTTCTCTGATAGTAACTACCCGTTGCCAGGAGGAACGGTGAACTCTGGTGTGTGGGGTGAGATGCAGTTGTCCCTGGGTGGGCGGGGAAAGGAGGGGGACCTGGGGCACTGACGGGGCTGCTGGCTACAGCTAGCTGGGAAGCAGTGCAGCAGACGCCTGGTTAGCTCTCAGAAGCCAGTTCAGAGGCTGGGTCCCCTCCCCCAGCCCTTCCAGACCCTGGGGCAGGGCTGCCTCACCACACAGGTGTCTTTGCCACCTTCCAGGTGTCCAGCACACAGCATGAACTCTGTCACCTTCTGGGTGTGGGCTTTGGCGCACTCATCATTGGGCAGGATTTTGAGGTCTACACACTGGAGATCATCTGGAAATGAGACTACGAACCCGGGAGAAAAAGGGCTGCAGCCCGACCTCACCTGCTTCCCTGGCCCTTTCTCCCTCGGAGGCAGGAGTCCCCATCCCCGCCTTGGGCTGCACAGCCTGCCCCCACATACAATTCTCTGGTTCGATGCTGCCCCAGCCGGAGGCCAAACAGGTGGTCCCCACTTCGGGTTCCTGGGTGGGCAACTCCACGACCTGCACAGCTTCTGTGATCTCGGCAGGCTGCGTCAGGCGGAGCAGCATGAGGTCGTGGCTGTAGTCCTCATCTGCTTGGCGGGTGTGGTTCTTCAGGAGGCTCATGTTGAAGCAAGGGTGTGGGAAGCTCTCACTGACATGAACAAACTGGGCTGTGTCTTCGTCATCAAACAAGTTGTGGCGACCCAGCCAGAGCTGGTAATTGCTGAGGAAAGATGGGAATGGAGGGATGAGAAGACGGGAAGGGGAAAGGAGGATGGGGCAGGGGAGCATGGCGGAGGGTCCCCAAAGAGGGAAAGAGAAAAATGTGGGTGGGCGGAGACAGAGGAAGAAAGCCATAGTTATGGAGAAATACAGACAGCGAATGGGAAGATGAAAGAGTGTGAGAGTGCAAAAGGTAAATGAGACAGAGCGAAAAAGAGCTCAAAAGGACAGAGGGGTGAGAAAGGCAGAAGGGAGGGCAATGAGAAAAAGGATGAGGAGAAAAGAGGCCAGTGAGAAGGAGAAAAGACAGGGACAGCGAGAAACAGGCCCAGGGAAGAGGGAGGAAGAGGGAACAGAACCCAGAAGGGAGTGAGAAGCAGACAAACGAAAAAGGACGCGGGAAGTCAGAGCGAGAACGAGAAACAGAGGCAGAGAAGAAGGAGGAGTGACCGAGTGTGGGAGAGAAAAGGGAGGGAGGCCCTGGGGAGAGTAGGGGCAGGTAGGGAGGAGGGGAGGCCTGAGAGCGGCTCAGCTGCAGCTGGGGCTGTGGTGCGGGCTCCCCAGGGGCAGGTGGCCTGGCCTGAAGTCCAAGGTCGAGGCCCCCTTCCCTCCCCGGCACCCTCCTCCGTGTTTCTCGCCCCGCCTCCTTCCTCCTCCCTCAGTTGCCCCACCCAGCTCCCGCTGAAACCAGCCCTTCCCTGTGTCCCTCCAGAGAGGAGGGATATCCTGTGGGGGGCTGGGCAGAGGGAGAGGCGCCCCCTCCCAGGCACACACATTGGGGATAAAGCCCTTCCTTTACTCTGGGGCTTCCCTTAGGCCCATCTGGGTGTGTTATTAGTAGGGATGGGGGAGGGTGAAGTAGAGACCCAGAGAGAGAGAGATGGGTAGAGAGATGGAGAGTGAGACACCGTGACGGAGATGCCACAGAGAGACCCAGAGACAGACAGAGACAGGGGAGATGCAGAGACAAGGAGACAGGGAAGAGAGAGAAAGATAGAGACCAAAGCACAGTCACACAGAGGCACAAGCAGAACCAGATCCCAAGAGACCCGGGGAGCCTTGGGGAGGGTGTCCAGCCCAGCTCTGCTCTGCCATGCGACTTGCGCCAGAGCCTTCCTCTCTGCCTCAGTCCCCCCAAGTCTTGCCTGAGGTTATCCAAGGGGAATGCCACTGGCCTCTCAATCCTGTGGCTGCATAGATGCCCTCCTCCCGGGCCCCAGGCCCCTACTCACTCGCTGATGCAGTGGGCAGCTGTGAGCACCCACTGGCGATGCACCAGGATGCCCCCACACTGGAAAGTGCTGAAATGGTACAGAGCCGCCTGCCAGGGCTGGGAACACTCCCAGCCTCCCACAATCCGGGACTGAATCGGGGGCGCAGCACCTGCAGAGGCGGTGCTGGGTCAGGGAGGGCAGGGTTGGCAGGAGAGGCCAGGGACAAGGCTAGGAGAGGGAGCTGGGGCTGTGGGTCTGAAGGGACATTGCGGGTAGAGGACCAGGGCTGGAGGTCTGGGGACATGGGCAAGGGGTGTTGGGAAGGGCTGAGACTCTGGACTGTTCCCTGGGCTTTTGGAGTGCTGGCTGGCCCTGGTGGGGAGATTTCATGCTCTGACAGTAGAGCAGCCTCCAGGGATCAGGGTAGGAGACATGAGACAGTGTCTGCAGCCGACACTGCATCTGGGTGTCAGGTCATTTGGGGTCTGGGGCTGGGGGATGGGAGGTGGTGGGTTAGGAGAGTGGAAAAGGATTCTGGAAATCAGGGATCAAGGCACCAAGGGTGAGATAGGATCAGAGGCTCACTAAGGAAGAATCTGGAGGACTAAGGGGCTCCCAGGCTAGGGAAACAGGATCTGGGTTGGGCTTTGGGGGTTCAGGAGAGGATGCAGCTTTAGTGAACCAGGTCTGAGAGGTCAAGAAGAGCATCTGGACTGACGAGTTTGGGGGTGACTTGGGGTCCCTACACTGGAGTTGGAAGGGGCCAGCTTGGCTGGGACAGTTAGATTTCAGGGCTTCCTGGTTAATGGGTAAAATAAAGGGCTATGGTTAAGGGTAGGGGTGGGCTTCCGAGAGGTTTTGGGGTCCTTCCTGTGAACTGGGAATGGCAATCTGAAGGGAGGTTGGGGCCCTGAGAACAGAGTTGGGGTCAGGACTGGGACGGGGCTCAGGAGGAGGGAGGCGTGAGTGGCCGTCCTTCTCGGACAGGGTGAAGGATGGATCTTTGTTTCTCAAGGGATGGGGTTCATGGTCTGAGGGTACTGGAGGAATGTGGGGCCCTCAATCCCAGGAAGAGGATTGGAGAAGTGGTCAAAACAGGCACCGAGCAGGTGTGGGAATGCAATGCAGGGCCCGCTCGATGTGAGGTTGTAGAATCACATCCTGGTGGACCTGGGGGAGGCCAGGGCGGGAGGGCTGGCTGAGAAGGCATTCAGGATCCTTGGGGTGGGGTTCCAGAAAACCAGAGCTGTGCAGGAACAATTCAGGTGGAGAAGGGCTGGGGACTGGGGCGGGATGGAAATTCCCCAAGGAAAGGAGCATGTGGTGGGAGGGTGTGCCTGTTTTTCCTGGGAGAGCTGGGGGTGCTGGGTGGGAAGGGACATTTGCAGACCCCCCATACCAGATGGGGGATCCCACATGCCAGTTTGGGAAGCAGGGTTGTCTGGTGAAATTTGGGGGACCCTGGAAGGATTGGGGAGACCAGATGTCAGGGTCTGGAAGACACAGTTGAGAGCGGACAGCTGGATGGAAAAAGTCACTGGAGTGTGGTGGGATTTGTAGATTCAGGAGCCAAATAGGTGGCCGCAGGGAACCTAGGGGGCAGGAGGGGATGTTCAGGGTCCTGTGGGGTTGGGGAAGCCCATGGGAGAGTTGGGGTCCTCCAGAGAGAGACAGAGATGGCCCAGCATCTGCCCCTTTGGTAAGCGGTGGGACAGGGCATTGGCTAGGGAAGAGAAGAAAGTACTGAGGCTTCCTGGGAGGAGCAGGGATCTGGTGTGAGAGTGAGGACTGTGACAACATGGTGGAGCTGGGGTGGAAGTTTAGGGTGGGGCCGTGCAAGATAGATAAGAGCTGGGGCACCCCGGATCAGGATAGACTGTGGGCCGGAGGGACGAGGCTGGGGTGTTGGAGGGAAAGGGCTTATCGGCGGGGTGAGGGCAGCAAGAGAATCAGGGCCCGTTCCCCCTCCCACATCCCCCCACTGTCTCACCAGTCCCCCCCAGGGACAGGGCGAGGCACAGAACCAGGAACCACATGGTGACAGAGGTGTCCGGGGCCGGCAGGTGGAGGAGCTGGGGAACCTCCCTGGGGAGCCTTTTAAAAGCTCTTATCCCCTCAGAGCCCCACCCCTGCCCTGCTGGCTCCCAGATGTTGGCCAAGGCCCTTCCCCTGTTGCCTGGGGGCTGAACAATCGCCTCCCCCCGCCCCCCCCAGTCCCCAGAGCTGTGGACGCAGAGGGAGAGCCAGCACCTGCTCTGCAGGCCCTGGATCACGCTGGACGCATTCCTGGGGTTGAAGCCAAATGGGGCAGGGCCTGTGGCTCTGGGGCTTTGCTCTGGGCAACAGCCAGTGAGGCAAGGGGGGACTGAGGGGAAGTAGAAGCAGGAGGGCGTAGGAATCAGTGACCCCCGGTACAAAGCCCCATATACCTAAGTCCCAATTAAGGCCCTGCACCCCAAGGCCTGGTGCCCTCAAATATCAGCAGTTAGGGCTCTGATTCCCTGCACCACTCAGAGCCAAGATACTAGCATCTCAGCTGCCAGTTCCCCCTGAAATATAAGCCTTGGCCTTCAGAATGCCCTGGTTCTTGCACTCCCAGACCCAGGACCTAGGTCCCCAAAGCTACTGTTCCTTTTATAATAAAATTTTGGGGTACACATCACCACATTCCTAGTGCCTCCAGATCCAGGAATGTGAAGTTTCAGGGGTCTCCCAGGGTAAGTTCTTTAGCATTACAAAATCCAATGTCCCTCCCAAACAGTGTTGGGGTCCCAGTGAGCCTCCCACTTCTTATTCCCAGTTATGGTGCTCAACGTCCTGTCCTCCAAAGTCCTAGAGATCTGGACAACCTTCCCTCACAGGTCAAGATCAGGCTAACCACAGATTCCAATGACCCCCTCCCCCCACCCCCATTCCACCAGTACAATATTTAGGTCTCACGAGCCAGGTTCATGTACTTCCAACGTTCAGCTACCTTGAACATCACATTTTTTAGTCTCTGAAGACAATTAGGAACTAGATTCCTGCAGCCTCAATGGTAAACCTATAGGCTTCCAACATATTGTCTTAGCTTTTTGGTAAAATCAAAGCAGCTCAGAGTTTCAGCCTCTGCTGTATATCAGGGACCTGGCTAAGAAAAGGACAGTATTTGCCTTTTTGCCATGGCTACCAGGAAACCCAGAACCTAATTTTTTTTTTTTTTTTTTTTTTTTTTTTCTCTGAGATGGAGTCTTGCTCTATCACCAGGCTGGAGTGCAGTGGCGCAATCTCGGCTCACTGAACTCCTGCCCCCTAAGTTCAAGCGATCCTCCCACATCACCCTCCCAAGTAGCTAGGATTACAGTCGTGTGCCACCATGCCCGGCTAAATTTTTTTGTATTTTTAGTAGAGATGGGGTTTCACCATGTTGGCCAGGCCAGTCTTGAACTCCTGACCTCAAGTGTTCAAGGCCCGCCTTGGCCTCCCAAAGTGCTGGGATTACAGGTGTGAGCCACCGGCCCAGAACTAAATCTTAAAGAAAAAGCCATTGTTAGCAATCTAGTGTCTGCTAGGTCCTATAAGTGGGATCCAGAGATAGAAGGTATTTACTCAGTGCCAGACACTATTTTAATCAGTTCAGAGGAATCATCTCATTTAATCCTCAAAATAGCCCTTTGAAGTCAGCAATAAGATGGTCTCATTTTACAGATGGGGAAACCAAGGCCAAGGGAGATTGGGCCTCTTGTTCAAGATCACACGGGTGGTCATGTGTGTTGAATGAATGGAGCCCTGCTTCAAGCCGCTTCTCCTCACCTAGGGATCGGGGTGGTGGGTGAAAAGGAACAGTGTACAGTGTCTCTGGGTTTCCCTTTGACCCCAGAAAAAAGTCACAGAAATTCCTACAGAGAAACTTGGATCAGTGCTTTGTTATCTTGGCATTAAACAGGTGACCTTGAGCGCCAGCTTTGTCCTCAGGTGGGACAATCCTTGGCTAACATCTGGGCCTTGGACAGGGTCTTGGGGGACGGCTCCATTCTGTTCCATGTCAGGTGGGGCTGCTGGCCAGCTGTGGAGGCCTCTGCTCAGTCAGGGGCACAGGTAATAGGCCAGAATAGTCAGTTCCTCTTCATGGTTTCCCTGATCCACTTCAAGTAGTGGCAGACTTTGGTATAGACACCAGGCTTGGTGGTGTTGTCACAAGGGACATCACCCCAGGACACAATGCCCTGCAGGACGCCCCCACAGACCAGGGGTCCCCCGGAGTCACCCTGTGGGGAAAAGATGGGGTCTCAGGTTGAGTGAAACCTCCTGGATTCACTGCATTCATCCTCATCCTAATCACCATTTGCAATCTCACCCCAAACCCAATCCATCCCCATCCCAGGGAATCCCAACCCAACTCAGTTGGGATTGTCCCAGTTTATCCCAAACGGAGCCAACCCAACCCCAACCCCAGTTCAACACAGCTCAATACAACTCACCCAACCTATGTCCAATGCCCCATGTAACCCCAGTGCAACTGAACTAAATTAAATCCAACCCAGCCCACATCCTCACCATTCGAAATTAAACCAAACCCATGCCCATCTCAAAATCCAATCTCAATCTTCGTGTCTTCTGCATTCCAAATAAAATCGACCTCATCCCAATTCGATCCTAACATATTTCCCACCCAAAATCAAACCAAAGCATTCCCATTCTCAGCCCCAACCCATGCCATCTCAAACCAACTATCACATTATCCACCTCAAACAACGCAATCCCCACCTATAACCCCAACTCCAACCTCACCCCTATTCTAACTTCTCTTCCCACTCCATCTCCAAGCCTAACCCTGGCATCTTCTCTGGCCCAAAGCAAAGAAAATACAACCCCATTCGGACTCCCACACCTGTCTCCATCCCTCTTTTTCCGCCTAAGGGCCCCTCTGGGCTCTGACCTCACAGGATTCTGCGCCTCTGCCCTCCGCGCCTGCACACACCATGGTGTTCGTCAGGCGCCCTGGGTAGCTCTTGTCACAAGACGTGTCCGAGATAATGCTGATGTTGGCACAATGCAACGTATCTGGGAGACTCACTGGGGAGGACAGCGGACTTGGAGCAGATCCATACATTCTGGCCCTTCTCCCCTCCGCCCAAGAGCCCTGGAGCATAGGATTCCTTGAGGCCTCGCATCCAGCTCCATCCTTTCACGCACCTTGTGACTGGGGGCTCCGGGTGGTCCCAGGCTCGATGTGGGACACCAGGCCCCAGCCAGACACCACACAGGCCTCCCCCGGGTGGGGGCAACGCGTGGGTAGCACCACGGGGCGCACCTGGGGGGTCAGGCGTGCGGGCTGGACTAGACGCAGCAACATGATGTCGTGGCGGTGGCTGCGCGCTTCGTAGCGCGGGTGTGGGATGACCCGAGACGCGGTCCGTAGTTGCTCTGGGCCATCGCGCTTGCGCAGGTTGTGCTCCCCCAGGCGCACTCTCATGAAGCTGTGAGGGCGAGTGGTTTTCCCGCCAGGGGTTACCCGCAAGTAGAGGACAGAAGGATCAAAGAGTGGGCAGCCCGAGGTCCCCCGACCCTTTAGGAATCTCGACATCCCATTACCTTTTCCCAAGACCCTGAAGCCAAAATGCTCCTCAAGGACCAACGAGTCTGAAGTCAGGCGGACTCCTAGAACTCTATCCCCTCCAACTACTCCCAGCCCCCTGCTGGTCTCTCCCTGATTCCAGGATTCTCTAGAACTGAGGCTCAAAAGCTGGAACTAGTCTTCTCCTTACCCCTTCAGAGATCTAAGGCTTTGAAACACACACTCCCCTCTCACCCAGAGGCTTGACATCCAGCCTCCTCGTCTTTCAGAACCCAGGAGTTCTGGCGTCTGCCTCCGTCTTCCCCCAAAGCTAGGAGCTCTTCCCCGCACCAGGCTCCCTCAGGACCCTGAGCCCTGCTTTCATACCGGGTTTGGCAGTGGGCCGCAGATAGCACCCAGTGTGGGGAGATGAGGGAAGCGCCACAGTTAAAGCGTCCACGCTCGTAGAGGGCCACTTGCCATGGCTGGGAGTGGGGTGCACACTCGTCACCTTCCAGCAACTTGTCACCATCCTGGGCTGCTAGGAGAAGGGGTAGAGGATGCCTGAGGACAGGGACCTTTGCATTGCCTCCTACACCTTCCTTGCACCCTACCCTAACTACTATATGCCTATGCCTTTCCTCTAACTTCTCAAGATACCTTGCGCTGTTTTTTTTCTTTTTTTTTTTTTTTTTTTTAAGACCGAGTCTCACTCTCTTGCGCAGGCTGAAGTGCAGTGGCCTGCTCTGTTGTTTGTTTACAACCGCTGCCTGCTTTCTCCAAAACTCGAGCCCCCACCCCATTTGCTATAAGACTCGGGGAGAGACAGGAAGGGGAACAGACCAGAGGGCAAGAAGTCCTCTGTGGTTGGGGGTGGAGACAGGGGCACTGGATACAGGTTCAGACAGTGGGTCACTTGAAACCAATCCTTCAAGTTCACCAAATTGTCATTGACATCAAACGGATGTGGCCACTCAGTATGTGTGACATAGCCTTGGCCCCAGAGTCTGGACATGTCAGCCAAGTTCATTGTGCAGTATGAGTCCCAGATGTGACCATACAAGGTCATGGACATGCATACATGCACATCTAGCTTCCAAACTTAGGTACAGCTATGGATAGGACTGGAAGCTGAAATTCACTTGCAGGCACATGGGTTGCAGCTTCAAGAATCACAGCACAGGCTGGGCACAGTGGCTCATGCCTGTAGTCCCAACACTTTCGGAGACCGAGGCAGGTGGATCACCTGAGGTAAGGAGTTCGAGACCAGCCTGGCCAATATGGTGAAACCCCGTCTCTAATAAAAATACAAAAAATTAGCTGGCATGGTGGCGGGTGCCTGTTATCCCAGCTACTCTGGAGGCTGAGGCAGGAAAATCGCTTGAACCCGGGAGGCGGAGGTTGCAGTGAGCCGAGGTTGCTCCATTGCACTCCAGCCTGGGTGACAAGAGTGAAACTTCATCTCAAAAAAAAAAAAAAGAAAAGAATCACAGCACGGATGTTCATATGTGTATATGAATATGGATGGTTAAGACATGAATACACACACACACGCATGCACAAACACATACACAGAACTGGATATGGTTCAGACCTAAATTCAACATATCTAGTGTGGGTCTTGGCATCCGGTGTCACAGACACTTCCATATAGGGTCTGGACAAAGAAGGGGTCCTTAAGCCTGGGTTCGAATGTACTAGCTGTGAAACTTTGAGTAAGTTATTTGACCTCTCTGTGCCTCTGTTTCCTCATCTGTAAAATAAGGATTGCTGTAAGGATGAGGTAGGAATGTGTATGTGTGTGTGCATGTGTGAATGTATGGTGAGTGATACCTGGCCCATTGTAGCTACTTAATAAATATTAGTTGTTTTTTACAAATGACACCTGGATTTAGTCATAGGGACATACTCGTGAAAGTTTAGGTCCATCCTGAAGATGGCCAAAGTAAGTCAGACATCTGCACAGACCTACATATAATAAATAGTTAAGGTTGGCCAGGTGTGGTGGCTCACGCCTGTAATCTCAACACTTTAGGAGGCCAAGGCCGAGGTGGGTGGATCACCTGAGGTCAGGAGTTTGAGACCAGCCCGGCCAACATCGTGGAAAACCCTGTCTCTACTTAAAAAAAAAAAAAAAATACAAAAATTAGCTGGGTGTGGTGGTGCGTGCCTGTAACCCCAGCTACTCGGGAGGCGGAGACAGAATTGCCTGAACCTGGGAGGAGGAGGTTGCAGTGAGCCAAGATTGCACCAATGAACTCCAGTTTGGGCGACAGAGCAAGACTCTGTCTCCAAAAAAAAAAAAAAAAAAGTCAAGGTTAAAACCGTGATTCACCCACAAGCCGTTTTCTAGAGTTAGAGCTGCAGACACTAATCCAGAAGGCCAGCTCTCAGATGTGGACTTGCTGTCTGGGACAGCACTCAGACATGGGGCTCGGCATTCAAGGTCAAAGACATGCAGCCGCAGCCAGAGGCAGCCAGGACAGGACCTATTTATCCATCTCCGGATCAGCCCCCAAGCCAGATCTGAGGCGTTCAAGGTCACTGATTGGGTTTCACATATGGGGATCTGGTTCATGCATGTGGAGAGGATGTGAACATACAGGGCCTTGTATACCCACTGCGCACGTGCGTGTACACACACACACACACACACACACACACACACACAGAATGGCATTATGCTTAAGGACATAATTAGAGACATTCAAGGTCACAGGACCAGGACCCTCTCCACTGGTCAATGGGGTTGTGTCCCCTCAAGGTTGAAGCCATGCACACCCCCAACCACACAGGGCCAGGATGTGCACAGCCAGACCAAATGCCCACAGTCTGCCCATCACAGTCAGGAACTGGGCCAAAGGCCCCCGTGAGACCATGAATGCGGATGTGGTAGACAAGGGGCTTAACAAAGGAAGGGTGAGGTCGTCCTCCGAAGGGCGGAGGGTATGGACTGAACAGCTGGGCACCGAGGCTGCACCTGACCAGTCCAAGCCAGAGGAAGGTGGAGGCCCCAGCTGGGCACAGCAGGCAGGCGGGAGACAGGTAGGTGAGTGCACAGAGACAGCCAGAGGGGAGGCTGGAGGGTGGGGGTCTGAGGGGCCCTCAGGAGTGCGGGTCATTTGTGGCAGAACGTTAATGAAAGTCTACCCCCCCTCAATTTCTCCAGAGGAGAGGCATCAGGTTACAATTAATTTCTTGGTGTGTGGCAGCTGAGTTCAGTCTGGAGTTTGCCTGCCACCCAGGGTGACCTTGATGTGGCCATCCCTCTCTGAGCCACAGCCCCTTCCCTTGTCAAATGAGGTCGGTGGTGCCCACCACACATAGACGTTGTATGGAAGCTCTAAGCACCATGCCTGGCTTGCACACCTGAAGGGGCACTACCTGGGCCAGGCTTGTGCTCCTCTCTCTCACTCAACCATGTTTAATCCCCTCAAAGACCCTGTGAGAGACAGGCAGTGGCAGGCGTGGGACTCAAGCTGGAGTCTATCTGTGCTCTTGGCCTCTCAGTGCTTGTCTATTGCTTACTATGTATATTACCTCTGTTATGCTATTGAGACCTCACCGTTATTGTCTCAAGCGGTGCTGTCTGATAGAGAAGACACTCGAAGCCCAGAGAGGTGAAGCAGTTCCCTCAAGGACACACAGCAAGGAAGCCGCTGCCCCAGGACTCAGCTCAGGTTTGTGTAACCCCAGGACCGTGTTCCTTGTCATGGGCAGGGAGAGGCCCCAGGCAGCATAGCGACTCCAGAGCAGCAGCACCAGCCCCTGATGGTAAGGGCTTAGGGACATTGGTGCAGGTGGAGGTGGAGGGTGAAGGAAGGATCTTTAGTGGTCTCTGGGTGAGGTAGGGGCTGGCAGATCACTGGGCCCAGACATGCATGGGAAGGGGGCACCTGCTCCCACAGACCTGGCCCTCTCCTAGAGCCACCTCACCTGAGGATGCCAGCAGGAAGGAGAGAGTGAGGAGAAGCCACATTGTGGAGGAGGGACCAGGGTTCCGCTGCAGTCTGGGGAGGGAGGGAGAGAATCCAGGTGAGGCAGGACCCTTCTGCCTCCACCAGGATTCCTCTAGACACAGACTTATCCCACCCACTGTTAATAAATTTCTTCTGACCACCGGTAACCCCTTCCTCCAACCCCAGTCTGTGCTTCCTTCTTGGTCCCCCATCTCTGGAAGGTTTACTCTTCCTTAGGCACTGGGACAGACCCCATCCCCCCTCCTCCACCTGTCAGCCCCCAGCACCATGCTACCAGCCCCTGGATCTCTCTCCATCACCAAGGACCCCTATTCCAACCTCTTTTTTTTTTTTTTTTTGAGACGGAGTCTCACTCTGTCGCCCAGGCTGGAGTGCAGTGGCACGATGTCGGCTCACTGCAAGCTCCGCCTCCCAGGTTCATGCCATTCTCTTGCCTCGGCCTCCCGAGTAGCTGGGACTACAGGTGCCCAACACCGCGTCCGGCTAATTTTTTGTATTTATTTATTTTTTTTTTAGTAGAGACGGGGTTTCACCATGTTAGCCAGGATGGTCTCAATCTCCCGACCTCGTGATCCACCCACCTCGGCCTCCCAAAGTGCTGGGATTACAGGCGTGAGCCACCATGCCTGGCCTATCCCAACCTTTTATCTGGCCTTTTGGGTCCCCCTCCAGTCCAGTCCCCTCCACCAGCCTGCCCTCCACCCATGACCCCAAAGGATCTTTCCACATCTGGAGCTGACTGTGCCCCTCCCCTCCCCTGCTCACCACCCTCCGTGGATCCTTAGCACCACCAGGATAAAGTCCAGCCCTTCAGCCTCAATTTCTTTTTTTTTTTTTTCTCTCTCTCTTTTTCTTCTTCTTCTTTTTTTCTTTTCTTTTCTTTCTTTTTTTTTTTTTTTTGAGATGGAGTCATGCTCTGTTGCCCAGGCTGGAGTGGAGTGGCATGATCTCTGCTCACTGCAACCTCTGTTTCCTGGGTTCAAGCAATTCTCCTGCCTCAGCCTCCCAAGTAGCTGAGATTACAGGCATGTGCCACCACGCCCGGCTAATTTTTGCAATTTTAGTGGAGATGAAGTTTCATCATGTTGGCCAGGCTGGTGTTGAACTCCTGACCTCAAGTGATCCACCCGCCTCAGCCTCCCAAAGTGCTGGGATTACAGGCGTGGGTTGCCTGGCCCCAGCCTCACTTTCAAGGACAAAAGTGGCTTCTTCCCTTCCAGCCCCTCTGCCCGGGTCTCCCATGACCTTGTCCTAGACGCAGCCAGTGCTGCCATTTTTCCTCCTGCCATTTCATGCTCAGGCTGTTCCTCCCACCACATATCCAACGCCATTCCCTTCCAGCCCTGCTTCCCCCTTGAGGCCTTTTCTGACCTCCCCGAACCTCAGTGGTGTCTGCCTCCCCCTCTAGACTGGCAGGTCCCGAGGAGCAGCTGGTCTGACTCCACTCTGGGTCTCCAGTACTGCAGGGCCCTGCCCACGAGAGGCCTCAGGAAGCTTTGGGAGTGAATTAAAGTCTTTTTTCCCCATCTCTTCCAAATTCATCTTTGTCCTCTGAGACTCTGCCCCACCTCTTCTGGGAGGCCCCAGCACCTAACAGACGTCTCCCCTGAATCCCACAGCACCCATTCTGCCTGCATGACAGCACAGGTGCCCCATACTTGCTGAGGTCTGGCCCATTCTTTTCCCCATCTGGGGGCCTTGAAGATGGGGCTCAGGTCAGGTTCTTTCTGTGTCCTCAGCACTGCCCCGCCTGGGGCCTGGTACACAGGAGGCCTCCGGGAGCTTGTGCTGAACTGACTTGAACCCGTGATCACTCCTGACCACGTTCTTGGCTCTGGTACAAGCGCTTCAGGGACGTCCTCCTGATCCACTCCATCCCCCTCCCTCCACTGCAGCTCTTTCTGGCCACTCCAGGACATTTTCTTGGTTCAGGTTCAATTTGGGGCATTGGTAAAGGACACATGGATCTACCCATGCCCTTGACACTCAGTTCTCCCAGGGTGGTTGATGTTTCCCCTTGAGACCGGGGCACAGTGAATCTCCCCTTTGCCCCTCCCTCCAGTCTTGTCTCAAAGCTCTCACCTCCTCCAGGTCATCCAGCAGCATCTAGGGTAGCTTGGGTGCCAGAAGAAAGGAAGCAGGCACCAGGGTGCCTGAATTTATAAGCTCCCAGTCCCAGCTGGGTCTGGGGGTGTGGTGGTGTAGGGTGGGGTGGGAGGTGGCTGAGAGTCAGGTTTACAGGCAGAGACGCCTTGGTGGCTGGTGGGGTGGGAGACTTGGCCTAATGAGCATTTATTAGGTTGAAGCTGTTGTCTGAGTCCACAAGGAGGAATTCTCCACCAGGGGCAGTTCCTCAAGGGGGAGGGGACAGGAGGACAAAAACAGAAATTAGGAGGAGATCAAAAGACAGAGTCTGGAATTTGGGGTCTGGAGTGTGGAAACTGGATCCTAGAGTCACTGTTCTGGGGCTTGGGGCAGATTTCTGGATCCCGGGTTCTGGATCCAGATCTTCGGTTCTGGATCTGGGTCTTGGATTCCAGATTTGGGGATCTTGAGTTGGAGATTAATGACCTGCAGTCTGGAATGTGGATTTCGAAGTCTGAGTTCTTGGGCTTGGGGTCTGGAATCTGGATCCTGGAGTCAGGCCTTTGAGTGACAGATCTTGAACCTGGATTCTGAATCCTGGGGCATTCGAATCTAGAGCCCAGAGTAGGAGCCTGGAATCTGGTGTTTGGAATCTGGCACTTGAGGCTGGAAACCTTTGCACCTGCTATGAGAAGCCTGGGGCCTAGACTACAAATGGTAGATTTGGGATTTTGAATTGTGGGGTCTGGATTTTTTTTTTTTTTTTTTTTTTGAGATGGAGTTTCACTCTTGTCACCCAGGCTGGAGTGCAGTAGCGTGATCTCAGATCACTGCAACGTCCGCTTCCTGGGTTCAATTGATTCTTTTGCCTCAGCCTCCTGAGTAGCTGGGATTACAGGCGCCCGCCATCACAACCAGCTAATTTTTGTATTTTTAGTAGAGAGAGGGTTTCACCATGTTGGCCAGGCTGGTGTTGAACTCCTCATCTCAAGTGATATGCCATCCTTGGCCTCCCAAAGTGCTGGGATTACAGGCATGAGCCACCGTGCCCACCTTGGGGTCTGGATTCTACAGGGTGGATCTAGGCTCTGAGCTTTCAGGGGTAGACTTTGGAGCATAAAGTCTGGAGTTTCAAATCTGTGTTTTGCATTTAAAAGCTGGGCTGTGGCTGCCCAGTGACTCATGCCTTTGAGAGGCCAAGGTAGGAGGATTCCTGGAACTGAAGGGTTTGAGACAAGCCTGAGCAACATAGCAAGACCTCATCTCTACTAAAAATCAAAATACATACATACATACATACATACATACATACACACACACATAAAATTTAAAAAGGCTGGATTGAGAGACAGGGATCTGGTTTTCACAATTCTGAGACTGTTAGAATCTTGACTCTAGAGTCTGAATTTAGAGTCTGGGAAACTAGGGTCTCTATTCTGGTCCTGTAGTCTTATTTCTGGGTTCTAGAGCTTGAACTCTGGATTCTGCATTCCAGAGGTTGGAGATGGTCACTGAGATGACCCAAGGCTTTGGGTATTTGAGGCTGGCTTCCAACGTCTCAGAACCCCAGAGGGCCCCAAGCGGTTGTCTAGAGTCTATTTTGGCTTAATTAATGAGGAGGTCCCGCAACAGGAGGGACTGACCTCAGGTCACCAGTGAAGGATGGGACCTGTTGTAAGCGTGGTCTCTCCCCATGTGTGGAAAGCCTTCATCTTTATGGGAAGGAGTCATCACATGGGATTCAGCCATTCTAGAATTATAGGCCCCTGGAATTTCTAGAATATCAGACTTTCAGATTCTAAAATCACAGGCCCTAAGACATTCTGGCAGTCTAGGACACTCTGGAACGTAAGATTTTAGAATAGCCTAAAACCACAGAGCTCTAAACACTCTTGAACCTTAGAACACTGGGCGCTCTGGAGTCCCCAGAAACCTCATGCATTCTAGAACGTCGGGTCTCCAGACATTCTACAAGCCCAAACCGGCAGACATAATAGATTCCCAGGTTGGAAGCTCTTCTAGAACTCCTATGTCCCTTTGCCTCCCTCCCCACAAATTCATGCTCAAAGTCTGCGGCCTCACCCTGGGCCACCGCTTCAGCTGAGCAGCCCTGTTTATGGAATGCGGCTGCAGGCCATTCCCCCGCGCCAAGTGCTCTCTTTGCAGGATCTCACTCAGTCTCCGGGCAGCCCTGTGAGGTGGTTGTGTTAGTAACCTTATGGCTTCCTGCTGAATATGGAGGAAACTGAGGCCCAGACAGGGGGCAGCACAAGCAAGGCTCCTGCGGAAGCGAGAGGCCACGCGGGAGAGGAATCAGTGTTCCGACTGCGGAACGCCGGGTGGGCCAGTTCGCCGCCCCCCCTGCAGCCGCCTCCCTCTGTTGGGGCGCAGTGGTGACAAGGGGAAGGAGCCGAGCCCCTGGAGCTTCCTCGGTGCCAGGTCTGTGTTAAGCGCTTTCCGTCACGATCTCACGTGCTTCTCCTAACCAGCCTAGGCAGGTACTGATGAAGTACCCCTGATAGAGACGGGGACACTGAGGTCACTCCCGCTGCGCGGAACCCAGGCGCGAACCCAGTCTGCGCACAGCTCCCTGGAGGGCGTGCAGCCAGCGGCTCCCGCAGCCCCGCCCCCACGCAGTGACGTCAGAGCCCCGCCCCCGCCCACTGTGGCCGGCTCCCGCCCGCGCGATCGATATCCTCCTGGACGAGTCCCCGGACGTCCTTCACCTCCACCGCGGCCTGGGTCCCGCCCACCACGGCCTGAGTCCCGCCTTTGCCCCACTCCTCCTCTTCCTGAGAACATTCTCTAGGAGTCTTTCATCAACTCCCGTGGTTCATCCACCCACCACGCAGGTCTCCTCCATCTGACCCTGAACTCCGGCTTGGGCAGCCACGTGCTCCTGTGCGTCCCCTGCACCAGTGTCTCTAGGCCCCTCTCACTCACCGAGTCCCAACTCATTGCTCTATTTCCCCAAACCCTCCTTCCCTGTTCTTCCATGTTCTCCATCTCAGGGGCAGCGTCACCAACCACCCAGTTATTCGGCCAGACGCCCTTGGCACGTACCTTGCCCCATCTCTCCCCTTATCCCCTACAGCCCATCAGTCCCCAGCCTTGTGCCTTCGGCCCCTGCCCTTCTCTGCCCCGTCCCCTCCTCTCTGTCCCCTTGGCCTGGCTCCAGCCCAGACGTCCTTCTCTCTCTCTGGACCCTCGCCCCTCCTGTCCTGGAGGACAGCCTCCTGTCGGTCACCACGTGGCCCCAGAGGGTCTCTCTGCACTTGGAGCTCGCCCCGCCCCTCCCCTGCTCACAGCCTTCCCTTGCAGCTCCCCGTCACCCCTGGGCAAGGTCCCAGCTTCTCAGCCTGCAGTTTGAAGCCTTTTGAGACTCCCCCGCTGGAACAAGCCTCCCCTCAGACCCCCTTCTCAGGGGGACTGCAGACTGCCCACCTCGGGAGAGGGACTGGACTCGTGGTGCCTGAAGGGGCTCCCCATGAGGTGCTAGCCCTCCTCTAACTTAGTCTCACCATAGCCTCCGTTCTTTCTGGGACCGGACAAGCTGCTGTTTCAGGGCGCTGGGTCTGGATCCAGACAGCATGGGCGCAGATCTCTGTTCTACTACTTACTATTTTGGGAGACCCTGGTAAGTAGCTTTTCTTCTCTGTGTCTCAGTTTCTTATCCTTAAAATCAGAGGATCCCCTCGTAGAGTTTTTCGAGGAGTAAACGACTTAGTTTGTGTTAGGAGCTCAGAGCATATAGTCAATTACGACGATTCATTCATTCTACACATGAACAGATGGGAGTGCGGGGGCCATTGGTGAAGGTCACCCAGGCTGCAGAAGTGGAATCAAGAGAACGGCTCTCGGGGTCCTGGTGCCCCTTGTGAGAAGCGTCAGCCCTATGCGTGTCAGGTGCTCATCTGTGAAGTCTTCGGTTGGGGTGGGGTGGAAATGGGAGGGACCTCACAGGGGTTGGATGAGGTCATATCCGTGGAGCAGGTGTGCGAATCATAAAATCAGGCTGACGCTTGCAAGACCGGTTAACATGGCAGGTGATTCAAATGTGGCCGCTGGAGCCAGGTGGCCCGGGTTTGAGTTCTGCCTCTGTCCCATAATACTGTGCACCCTCAGGCAAGTCACTTAGCCTCTCTGTGCCTCAGCTGCCTCACTATCAAGTGGGGGTAATAATTGCTCCTCCCTCTTCTGTAGGAGCGTTTTGTGGTGTTCATGCTTGAAATCTGTGCCTGGCACTGAGTGAGTGCTGGGCCATTATCAGTCTGTCCTATGGCCCTTGGGAACTGAACGCTGGGGAAGAGTGGTTATGTGGGGTGTTTCTCAGATGACACAGTTGGGCAGCAGCAGATTCGGGACTGGAAGAAACCACTGTGGGTTTTTGTTTTTTTTTTTTAAATTTTTATTTTTAGACAGAGTCTCCCTCTTTTTGCCCAGGCTGGAGTGCAGTGGCACAATCTCGGCTCACTGCAACCTCCGCCTCCCAGGTTCAAGTGATTCTTCTGCCTCAGCCTCCTGAGTGCTGGGATTACAGGCACCCACCACCACACCCAGCTAATTTTTGTATTTTTAGTAGCGATGGGGTTTCACAGTGTTGGCCAGGTTGGTCTTGAACTCCTGACCTCAAGTGATCCACCCACCTTGGCCTCCCAAAGTGTTAGGATTACAGGTATGAGCCACCACGCCTGGCCAGAAGCCACTGTTTTGATCTCCCAGATGTGGTATCTTTTTCTGAATCCCTGTGACCCCTTTATCAAGACCCCTGTTTTACAGATGGGGGAGCTGAGGCCCCGGGAGAGGAAATGGATGTGTGAGACCCTGGAATGAGAGTGTGATGTCAAGCAAAGAGAATGCCACACACAGCCGAGTTCTTCTCTGAGACTTTGTTTCCTGGGCTGTGCTAGGGGAAGCTGGAGGGGAGGAGGCAGAAAAACCTGCATCTTCTCTTCTTTTGTCCTGCCAATAGGTGGCACCAACTGTGCATTTGTTCATAGGAGGTTTGCGTCTGGGTCTGAGGGAGGAGGGGCTGGGGGCCTGGACTCCTGGGTCTGTGGGAGGAGGGACTGGGGGATCTTAGGGAGGAGGGGCTGGGGGCCTGGACTCCTGGGTCTGTGGGAGGAGGGACTGGGGGATCTTAGGGAGGTGGGGCTGGGGCCTGGACTCCTGGGTCCCACACTCTGGGGCTGGGAGAGAAAGGCCTGCCCTGCCTGCTTCTTCCTTTGTGTGTTCCACCCCCGCCCATAGACCTCTTCTCCAGAGTCCTGAGCCCCCAGCCCACTTTCCAGCTCCGTCCTCCTCCCTTTCTGGAAGCTTCCCTTCTGCATTTGTTCATAGGAGGTTTGCTCCTGGATCTGAAGGAGGAGGGAGTGGGGTCCTGAACCCCTGGGTCTAAAGGAGGAAGGGCTGGGGAGTCTGAGGGAGGAGGGGGCTGGGGGACCAGACTCCTGGGTCTGAGGGAGGAGAGGCTGGTGCCTGGACTCCTGGGTCTGAGAGAGGAGAGTCTGGGAGCTGGGATTCTTGGTCTGAGGGAGGAGGGACTGGGGTCCTGAACTCCTGGGTCTGAAGGAGGAGGGGCTGGGGGGTCTGAGGGAGGAGAGAGCTGGAGAGATGTGTCTCTTCTCCCTGCTGTGACTGCTGCTCATTTTCCCCATGTCTGTGTTTCTGCTCCCCTCTCCCCGTGATCCTGTCAGCTTCTTTTAGTTTTTATTTTTTAGAGTTGGGGTCTTGCTGTGTTGCCCAGGCTGGAGTGTCATGGTGCAATCACAGCTCACTGCTACCTCAAACTCCTGGGCTTAAGCGATCCTCTGGTATCAGCCTCCTGAGTAGTTGGGACTACAGGTGTGTGCCACCATGCCTGGCTAATTTTTAAGTTTTTTTTTTTTTTTTTTTTTTTAGAGATGGGGTCTTGATATGTTGTCCAGGCTGAGATTGTTTGTAAGATGTCATCATGGAACACCCCACCTCCCAGTGCGGGAATGCTGGCTGTGGTATTGCCAAGAATGATGTTTATTGCAGCACTATTCCCTATAGCTAAGATCTGGAAACAACCTAAGTGTCCATCAACAGATGAATGGATACAGAAAATGTGGTGCATATACACAACGGAGCACCATTCAGCCATCAACAAGAATGACAGCCTGTCATCTGCAAAATGGATGGAACTGGAGGTTATGATGTTAAGTGCAGTAAGTCAGGCACAGAAGATAAACTTCACAGGTTCTCATTTATTTGTGGGAGCTAAAAATTAGAACAATTGAGTTGCCAGGTGCAGTGGCTCACGCTGGTAATCTCAGCACTTTGGGAGGCTGAGGCGAGTGGATCACCTGAGGTCGGGAGTTCAAGAACAGCCTGGCCAACATGGCGAAACCCCGTCTCCACTAAAAATACAAAAATTAGCCAGGCGCAGTGGCGCGTGCCTGTAATCCCAGCTACTCGGAAGGCTGAGGCACAGAACTGCTTGAACCTGGGAGGAGGAGGTTGTGGTGAGCCAAGACCTCGCCAGTACATTCCAGCGACCTGGGAGACAGAGCGAGACTCCATCTCAAAAACAAAAAACAGAAAACAAAAACAAAACCAACTGAGTTAATGGAGATAGAGCGTAGAAGGATGATTATCAGAGGCTGGGAAGGGTGGGGGTGTGTGGGTAGTAGGGAAGTGCGAACAAGGAACTAGAGTAAGATCTAGTATTTGATAGCACAACAGGGTGACTATGGTCAATAATAATTTAGTTGTGCATTTAAAAATAACAAAAAGAATGTAATTAGATTGTTTGTAACATAAAGGGTGAATGAGGTAATGGATACCCCATTTACCCTGATGTGATTATTCCACATTACATGCCTGTATTAAAATATCTCACACACCCCATAAATATATCCACCTACTATGTACCCACAAAAATGACAAATTAACAAAAAAGAATAATGTGGCTGTTACCGGGTTTCAGCTCCACCCTCGCTGTGTGTGTGGTACGTTGTGTCCCCAGCTCCTTCTCAGTGGTTCCTGGAGAGCATTACCATGTGTCACTGTCCACTCTCCCAGGGTGGACCCCACTCTTCCTCCATCTCTGCATCCCACAAATAACATGTCCCCCCTTATGTGTGTCTTTGCAGAACCAGAATGAGATGATATTACCGGAAAATGCCAGCGTGCCCCTGGGTGGGTGGAGGAGGGTGGGGCGGGTGGAGGGGACGAGTTTGCCCCATTGGGGAACCACTGGTCTATCCCTGTCACTGAAGCTTCCTTTCTCCCCTGCACCTGACTCCACACCACAGGACGCAGGTCAGGAGGGCTGGTGGGGGCTCTAGCCTCGGCCAGATGGGTCTCAAGATGATTGTTTACTGCAGGAGCATTCACCTTTTTAGACGGGTGCTTCCTGTCTAGAGAAGGAGACATGGGAGAGCTGGAGAGAGAAGCCTGGAGGAATGGGGACCGGGCAAAAACAAAGGAAGGCGGAGTCGGGGAGTGTAGAAGAGATAAAGTAAGGACTGGAGTGAGGAAGAGGCGTCAAAGACGTAGGGAATGGTGAAGGCAGAAAACGGTGAGAAACAGGGAGTGAGAAGATGGCATGAGACAGACAGGGTCAGGCCAGGCGTGGTGGCTCACGCCAGCAATCCCAACGCTTTGGGAGGCTGAGGTGGGCAGATCACTTGAGCTCAGGAGTTCAAGACCAGCCTGGCCAACATGGTGAAACCCCATCTCTACTAAAAATACAAAAATTAACTATGCATGGTGGCACGCACCTGTAATCCCAGCCAGTTGGGAGACTGAGGCAGAAGAATCACTTGAACCTGGGAGATGTAAGTTGGAGAGAGCTGATTCTGGCACCACTGCACTCCGGCCTGGATGACAGAGTGAGACTCAGAAGAAAAAAAAAAAGAGAGAGAGAGAGAGAGAAAGGAAGGAAGGAAGGAAGGAAAGAAGGAAGGAAAGAAGAAAGGGAGAAAGAGAGAAAGAAAGAAAGAGAGAGAGAAAGAGAGAGAGAAAGAGAGAGAGAGAAAGAGAGAGAGAGAGTGAGAAACAGACATGGGAAAGAGGAAGGGAGAGAGAACAGAACCAGGAAGTGAGTGAGAAATAGACAAATGAGGCTGTGTGCGGTGGCACACGCCTGTGGTCCCAGAAACTCTAAAGGCTGAGGTGGGAGAATTGCTGGAGCCCAGGAGTTCGAGACTAGCCTGAGCAGCATAGTGAGACTCTGTCTCTACAAACAAACAAACAAAAATGAGCTGGGCATGGTGGCACGTGCCTGTAGCCCCAGCTACTGAGGAAGCTGAGGCAGGAGGATTGCTTGAACCCATGAGTTCAAGGTTACAGTGAGCTATTATTGTGCCACTGTATCCAGCCTGGGCAATGGAGTCAGACTGTCTCTAAAATGAATGAAAAAAAAAAGCAAACAGGTTGGGCGTGGTGGCTCATGCCTGTAATCCCAGCACTTTGGGAGGCTGAGGCAGGTGGATCACTTGAGGTCAGGAGTTTGAGACCAGCCTGGCTAACATGGTCTCTACTAAAAATACAAAACTTAGCCAGGTGTGGTGGTGTGTGCCTGTAATCTCAGCTACTTAAGAGGCTGAGGCAGGAGCATCGCTTAACTCGCGGTGGGGTGGAGGTTACAGTGAGCCAAGATCACACCACTGTACTCCAGCCTGGGTGACAGAGTGAGACTCTGTCTCCAAAAAAAAAAAAAAAAAAAAAAAAAAAAAAGAAAACAAACCGGGGCTGGGTTTTGTATCCCAGACCAAATGCCTGCACTTTGAATGCCTGGTTGGGAAGCCTGAGATTATCCTGTGGGGAAGCATCAAGAGTGTGAACTGAATGGTGTTAGGAGACAATTATCCATGGCTCTCTTACCTTTCTGCCTGTCTCCTGAAGAAGGTATTAGCCACTTTTTAGTTCCGGACTGTCTTTTTATGGGTGTTTCTCTAGAGCATCAGAACATGTTTGTTTACTGTCTTAGACAATAAAGATAATGTCCTTCCATAATGATTTATTTATTGGCTGGGATAGTAAATACAGTATGTCCTTCCAGGGCAGGTGGATCAGCAGTCCAAGATAACAAAGATAATATCTCCCTGAGGTCGAAAGTCAGGCAGATTTCCTTGCATCTCCCTTATAAGCTTGAAGATCTGTAAACACATGTAAACAGAGGTTCCCCAGCATTGACACAAACCATGTGAGCACAGCATATGCCTGAGCCACTCCGATCATCCCTGTAGGACCTAGGGGGCAAGGTGAGCCCATTTGAACATGAACCTCAAGCTACCTGCTGTCCCATGAGTAATAAAGTCCTTTGTCTCTGACCCGGAGTCTTTGTGTGCTCTACCAATAGTTTCACTGGATACAAAATTCTTGGCTGATAATTGCTTCGTATGAGGAGGCTAAAGGCAGGACCCCAATCCTTTCTAGGTTGTGGGGTTTTTGCTGAGAAATCTGCTGTTAATCTAATAGGTTTTCTTTATAGGTTACCTGATGCTCCTTCATCTTGACTTTGGATAACCTGATGACTCTGCACCTAGGTGGTCATCTTTTTGTTTTGTTTTGAGATGGAGTCTCACTCTGTCGCCCAGGCTGGAGTGCAATGGCACGATCTCGGCTCACTGCAACCTCCACCTTCTGGATTCAAGTGACTCTTCCGCCTCAGCCGCCTGAATAGCTGGGATTACAGGCACGCGCTGCCACACCCGGCTAATTTTTTGTATTTTTAGTAGAGACGGGGTTTCACTGTGTTAGCCAGGATGGCCTCGATCTCCTGACCTCGTGATCCCCCTGCCTCAGCCTCCCAAAGTGCTGGGATTACAGGCATGAGCCACCACACCCGACCAGTGGTCATCTTTTTGTAATGAATTTCACAGGCATACTTTGAGCTTCTCGTATTTGGATATCTAGATCTCTAGCAAGGCCAAAGAAGTTTTTCCTTGATTATTCCCCTCAAATATGTTTTCCGAATTTTTAGATTTCTGTTCTTCTTTGGGAACATGAATTATTCTTAGGTTGGTCATTTAACATAATCCCAAACTTCTTGGAGGTCTTGTTCATTTTTTTAAAATTCTTTTTTCTTTGTCTTTGTTGGATTGGGTTTATCCAAAAGTCTTGTCTTTGGGCTCTGAAGTTCTTTCTTCTACTTGTTTGATTCTGTTGCTGAGATTTTACAGTGTATTGTGCATTTCTCTCAATGTGTCCTTCATTTCCAGAAGTTGTTATTGTTTTTGATTTATGCTATTTCTCTGGAGATTTTTCTGTCCGTATCCTGTAACACTTTTTAAATTTCTTTAAGCTGACATTCGTCTTTCTCTAGTGACTCCTTGAGTAGCTTAATAATTGATCTTCTGAATTTTTTTTCTGGCAATTTCAAAGATTTCTTTTTGGTTTGGATCCATTGTTAGTGAGCTAGTGTGATCTTTTTGGGGTATTAAATAACCTTGTTTTGTCATATTATCAGAATTGGTTTTTTGGTTCCTTCTCATTTGGGTAGACTATGTCAGAAGGAAGATCTGGGGCTCAAGGGCTGCTATTCAGATTCTGGATTTAGCTACCCAGTGGAGCGTCTGGGCTCTGGGCTGGTACTGGGGAGTGTCTGCAAAGAGTCCTGTGATGTGATTTATCTTCAGGTCTCTTAACTGTAGATATCAGCACCTGCTCTGTTGGAGGTAGGGGAGTAAAGTAGACTCGCTGGGGGTCCTTGGTTGTATTATTTTTTAGTCTGCAGGTTTTGTGTTGGTTGGCCTCCAGCCAGGAGGTGACACTTTCAAGACAGCATCAGCTGCAGTAGTACAGGGAGGAAAACGGCTTGCCCTAGGGTCACCTGGATAAGTATTCGAGTTTCTCAGGTGGTGGATGGGGCCAGAGAACTTCCAAGAGATTATGTCCTTTGTCTTTGGCTACCAGGGCAGGTGGAGAAAGACCATCAGGTGGGGGCAGGGTTAGGCGTGTCTGAGCTCAGACTCTCCTTGGGTGGGGGTCGCTGTGGCTGCTGTGGGGATAGGGGGTGGTTCTCAGGACAACAGAGTTATGTTCCCAGGGGGATTATGGCTGCCTCTACTGCATCATGTGGGTCACCAGGAAAGTGGGAGAAAGCCAGCAGTTTCAGGGCTCACCCAGCTCCCATGCAGCCCAAAAGGCTGGTCTCATTCCCACTGTGTGCACTCCCTACCAATGCACAGTTTGTTTCCAGGCAGCGAGTGAGCAGGGCTGGGAACTTGCCCCAGGCTGCAAGCCTCTCTGCTGAGAAAGCAAGCAGGGCTTTCAGGTTTCATGCCTCCCCACCTGCTGCAGCTTCTGTGCTCACGTCTGCACTCACAGTTCACCCCCATCCATGGAGTTCTGTACAGGAAACTTCGTATTCAGTTGAAATTGTTACACAGTTCAGCTGGAAGTTTCCTTCTCCCTGTAGTCTTTCCCCAATTCCATTGGCAGTGTCAGTTCTCTGAGCCCAAGTTAAGCCATCATATCCCCTGTGACCTGCACGTATACATCCAGATGGCCTGAAGTATCTGAAGAATCACAAAAGAAGTGAAATTTAAAATGACCTGTTCCTGTCTTAACTGATGACATTCCACCACAAAAGAAGTGAAAATGGCCGGTCCTTGCCTTAACTGATGACATTACCTTGCGAAATTCCTTCTCCTGGCTCATCCTGGCTCAAAAAGCTCCCCCACTGAGCACCTTGTGACCCCTACCCCTGCCCGCCAGAGAACAACCCCCTTTGACTGTAATTTTCCTCTACCTACCCAAATCCTATAAAACAGCTCCACCCCTATCTCTCTTCGCTGACTCTCTTTTTGGACTCAGCCCGCCTGCACCCAGGTGATTAAAAAGCTTTATTGCTCACACAAAGCCTGTATGGTGGTCTCTTCACACGGATGTGTGTGAAAGGCAGCCCTCCCCAAGGACCCCTGTGAGACAAAGTCAGAAATGACTTCCCTGGGGACCAAGAGTACCCTCAGGGCTCTTCCTGCTGCTTCCTCTACCCCTGTATTTCGTTCAGCTCTCTAAATTCATCTTAGCTCCAGGTAAGGTCAAATCCTTCTCCCATGATCTGGACCTTCAGATTCCCCAGTGAGGATGTGTGTTCAGGGGCGGATGATCCCCCTTTCACACTTTCACACTTTGGGCAATGACAGTTTTTCAGCTGTCTCCTGGAGGCTGCCTCAGGAATTTGCTTCCTTCAAAGGGTCTGTGGGTTCTCTTGGCTTTCCTGGTATGTTCCTGCAATAGTTCTTGGAGCAAAAATTCAAGATGTGAGTCTCCACATGCCGCTCTGTCCATCTGAGTGGGAGTTGCAAGTTAGTCCTGCTTCCTAGCCACCATTTTCTCCCCACATTAGCTTTTTGACTTTTCTTTTTTATTAATTGCCTGTTAATATGCTTTGTCCATTTTTTTAGGGGTTGCTCTTTTGTTCATGTCAGAAGTTTCTCGTGCCTTCTAAATAATGATCTCTTTGGTTTTGAATGGGGTATATGTCATCTTTTATAAATAGAAATTCTGAATTCTTATACAAGTTTCTGGACGACAGTGCCCTCTAAGCAGAAATTCTAAATTTTCCTTTAATGAAGTACATCCAAATTTTGGTCTATGATTTGTGCTTCTGAAATTGTGTCAGGAAGCCTTTTCTTTGTGTTAGATAACAAAGGTTATCTCCCATATTTTCTAGCCTCTCTAACCCTCTCTCTTTGTCCATCTGTTTCTGTATCTCATCCCATCTATACAGCTATTCATTAATTTCTCGTTTGATATTTGCTAGTTGTCACAACTGTGACTTGACAAAGATAACATAAACTCATAATAATATCCCTCAATAAGAAAAGGAACAATAAACTAATGTCATTAGCTTATAAACCATGTTAGATTAGTTGGTGGATCAGAACACTTGAAATGTCCTGAAATCTTTCTGCTGACATTTGAAAGAAACTTACTATTATTTCTCCCCAAATTGGGCAAAAATCCTGAACAAATCATATGAAATTTAAATAAATAAAAACTTTGAAGCTGAAAGAAATGTTTCTAAAGGATTAATAATGAAAAACAGATTTTGATCAAATATGATAAAAATTAAACTATTTTTCTTCCCCTAGAAAATGAGATTACAGGCCAAGTGTGGTGGCTTATGCCTGTAATCCTAGCACTTTGGGAGGCCAAGGCGAGTGGATCATGAGGTCAGTAGCTCGAGATCAGCCTGGCCAACATGGTGAAACCCCGGCTCTACTGAAAAAATACAAAAATTAGCTAGGTGTGGTGGCATGTGCCTGTAGTCCCAGCTACTCGGGAGACTGAGGCAGAAGAATTGCTTCAACCTGGGAGGCAGAGGTTGCAGTGAGCTGAGATCGCACCACTGCACTCCAGCCTGGGTGACAGAGTGAGACTCTGTCTAAAAAAAAAAAAAGAAAAGAAAATGAGATTACAAAATCATTTGATCATAAGCAGAGATAATTGAAGAGTATGAGGACAAAGGAATCTAGGAGAAAAACTTTACAAGGCATTTAAGACAATTGCTAAGTTAAAAAATTATGCATCTTCTAAATTTTGCATTGATTTTGGTATTGTGTACTCTTTTAAATAGTTCCTGTATTATTCCTTTTATCATTTAGATTTACTAGTTACATTTGTTATTTCTTTTCTCATTAGAATAATCAGGGTTATAACTAAGTTTATATTAAGAATCTTTTATTTTGTTTTTTTTCAAGAAGCTGAAGACCTTAGAAAACCTGATCAACATGAAGTGTGGCATGAAGTAGTACTCGATAAAGAGAAAACGTGATGGTAATCTTGAAGAAAAACACCATATTCATCCCTGTATTTCCTTCTGTGTCCCTCTCTGTCCCTGGGGGAGGGCTTCTCTTACCATCTCAGGCTGTCATTGTGGGGATTCTGGAACTCTGGAGTGGAAGGATTCCCAAGACCTTTCCAGGGGTCTGAAAGGTCAAACACTAGTTTCATAATAATCTGTACACATTGTTTTCTTTTTTTTTTTTGAGATGGAGTTTCACTCTTGTTGTCCAGGCTGGAGTGCAATGGCACGATCTCAGCTCACTGCAACCTCTGTCTCACAGGTTCAAGTGATTCTCCTGCCTCAGCCTCCCGAGTAGCTGAGATTACAGGTGCCACCACGTCCCGCTAATTTTTGTATTTTTAGTAGAGACGTGGTTTCACCATGTTGGCCAGGCTGGTCTCGAACTCCTGACCTCAGGTGTTCTGCCCACCTCGACCTCACAAAGTGCTGGGATTACAGGCGTGAGCCACTGCACCTGGCACCTTTCTCACTCTTGGTCTCTCATAAGCACAAGGTGGAATTTTCCAGAGTCTACATGATGTGATATGGTAGCAAATTAAACCCTAAAGCAGATGTGAGAGTCCAGCTGTCTTCTATTAAGCCAGACATTAAAGAGACTTGCAAAAGCGTATAACGTTTTTTCTCACTAGTTTTTTGTCTTAAAATATAGCTGTTTTTCATTAAAATATGTTATGTTAACATATATTTGTTATTGCTATTTAAAAATAAATTAATAACAAAATATTTGAAAGATTTCTCAGTTTTAATATCTACTGTGGAATGTATCAATAGATATAGTTAATTATTGGGAGCAGGCCCCCCAAAATCTGGCCATAAACTGGCCATAAACAAAATCTATGCAGCACTGTAGCATGTTCATAATGGCCCTAAGGCCCAAGCTGGAAGCTTGTGGGTTTCCGGGAATGAGGGCAAGGAACATCTGGCCCGCCCAGGGCAGAAAACCACTTAAAGGCATTCTTAAGCCACAAACAATAGCATGAGCAATCTGTGCCTTAAGGACATGCTCCTGCTGCAGTGAACTAGCCCAACCCATTCCTTTAATTCAGCCCATCCCTTTGTTTCCCATAAGGAATACTTTTAGTTAATTCAATATCTCTAGAAACAATGCTAATGACTGATTTGCTGTTAATAAAGATGTGAGTAAATCTCTGCTTGGGGCTCTCGGCTCTGAAGGCTGTGAGACCCCTGATTTCCCACTTCACACCTCTATATTTCTGTGTGTGTGTCTTTAATTCCTCTAGCGCTGCTGGGTTAGGGTCTCCCTGACTGAGCTGGTCTTGGCAGTTAATATAAACAAAAATCCAAGGAAGGCCCTCAGTAATTTTTTTTTTCCAATGGAGTTTTGTTCTTGCTACCCAGGCTAGAGTACAGTGGTACAATGTTGGCTCACTGCAACCTTTGCCTTCTGGGTTAAGGTGATTCTCCTTCCTCAGCCTCCTGAGTAGCTGAGATTACAGGTGCCTGCCACTATGCCCAACTAATTTTTGTATTTTTAGTAGAGATGGGGTTTCACTGTGTTGGCCAGGCTGGTCTCAAACTCCTGACCTCAGGTGATCCACCTGCTTTGGCCTCCCAAAGTGCTGGGATTGCAGGCATGAGCCACCGTGCCTGGCCCAATAATTCTTTTTTTTTTTTTTTTTTTTTTTGAGACGGAGTCTTGCTCTGTCACCAGGCAGGAGTGCAGTGGCACAATTTTGGCTCACTGCAATCTCCGCCTCCCATGTTCAAGTGCTTCTCCTGCCTCATCCTCCTGAGTAGCTGGGATTACTGGTGTGTGCCACCACACCCAGCTTTTTTTTTTTTTTTTTTTTTTTTTTGTATTTTTAGTAGAGAGGATTTCACTATGTTGGCCAGAATGGTCTCGATCTCCTGATCTCATGATCTGCCCGGATCAGCCTCCCAAAGTACTAGGATTACAGGTGTGAGCCACAGCGCCTGGCCCCAGCTCAATAATTCTTAAGAGTGTAAACATGTCCTGATATGGAAAATGTTTGAGAACCACCATTCTAGACATTTGCTTGAATTCTAGAGTGTGTGGGAGTACAGAACCTAGAGCTTGGTTTCTGGAGCCTAGATTCTGGAATTTGGAGTTGAAATCTGAAGCTTGGCTGTAGCAGTGTGGGGCTGGCTTCTGGAACACAGATTGGGCATGCTCATTTACTGCTTGGGGTTTACTATCTGCCCTGAATCCTAAAGTCCACCCTTGAGGGGTCTGGAATCTGGAATCTATTATCTTTAGTTGAACACCTCCAGTCTGGGTTCTGCTTTGCAGAGCTGGATTTTCTTTACCAGTGATCTGTTCTGACATTTCAACTTCACATAGTGTAGGCCACCTCATGGTACTGTTTTCAACCAATCAACCAAATGAATCATTAGAGCCCTTTCTAATTCCCCTAGCTGCAGTGTTAAACCCAATATTTCTGTTTAGTGGGTCCATATTAATAAATTCAGCCTGCTCTAACTCCTTCCACCATTATTCTACACCCACCCTTAACATGTATTCCCACATATATTTCTTGGATTTCTCTCTATATAGTGGGTAATCCTGGCTTTGCCAATTTCTAGTGACCTAGCATCTCTGCGACTCATGTTATTCTACTTTAAAGTAGAATAAAGGAAATAATAACAGTTCCTATATAGAGTTTAGGGCTTCCCAAGATGACCCTCCATTGTGACATCAGTTGAGATTCCAGGAGAGTCTGAAAGATCATCCTCAAGGTTCAGTCGTTTGCTAGGATGCTCGTGGTTGTGGTTGATTATAGCAAAAGGATACAGATGAAAATCTGGCCAGGGAAGAGGTGAATGAGGCAAAGACAAGGAGAACTCAAAGTGCAAAGCTTCCAGTTTTCTTTTCCTAATGACATCGTGGAAAGCACTAACATCTCTGAGCAATGATCTGTGACAATATTCACAGTGTATTATCATCCAGGGAACTCAACTGAGCCTTGATGTCCAGAGATTTTTTTGGGGGCTCCCTCACACAGACATGTTGATCATCTTCATGGTTGACTTTTAGTATCCAGCCCCTCTAGAAATCTAGCTGATATGGTGTGGCTCAAAACCTTCAGCATAAATCACAACGTTAGACTATCTGGTGTGGCCCAAAATCTTCAGGTGAACAAAGGCACTCTAATATGGTGGGATATTCCAAAGCATTATAGATGTCCTCTTGCAAAGAAAAAGAAATGCAAAAGAAAAAGAAAGAAAGGAGAAAAAAAAAATAAGAGATGACGTCTCAGGCTCTGACGGCAAAGGCCTGATGTCTTTGGGCAAGGTCAGTCCCCTGTTGCACAATCTCCCTCATAGGGTCATTGTGAGGATCAAATGTGGTCACGTGCATGAGGCACCAGCACATGCCTGGCTTTAGGGAGTCCGTGTAAGTGTATGCTTGTACTGCTGAATGGTTGGGATGTGTCAGGCATTATCTTCAGCACTTACAGATGCTCATCTAATCCTCACAGCATCACTATGGGGTGGGTATTACTGGCCTCATTTGACAGAGAAAGCAGCTGTGGCTCAGAAAGGAGGGACCACTAGACCGGGGACACTCTGGATGCTGGAGACTCCAGAGACCACGACCACTCACCAACTGCAGAGAAATTAACTGTGACCTGATGTCCCTGTCCTGGAGAGGGTGGAGGTGGACCTTCACTAACCTCCTACCTTGACCCTCTCTTTTAGGGCTCTTTCTGACCGCCACCATGATACTAGGATCCCACTGTATTCTGTACCCTTTTGCCTCTATGACCCCCACTGCCTACTGCATCCAGCTGGGTCCCCTCCTATCTCCATTCCCAGCTGGCCAGTGCAGTCTCAGTGCCCAACTGTTTGTCAGTAACTCTGAAGGGGTTGACATTTTACCGACCTGCAAACAAAGAAGCTAACCTGCCAGAGTTCTGTGAATGCTGGCAGAGTCCATGAGACTCCTGAGTCAGAGACAAAGGATTTTACTGCTCACAGCTCAGCAGACAGCATGAGGTTCATGTTCACATTAGTTCACCTTGCCCCCCCAAATCTTGTAGGGTGACCAGAGCAGCACAGGGTTTGTGCCACCGGTGAGAAACCTGAGATGAGGAATCCTCAATCTTTTACTGGGACAACTTGCAAACCTGCTCAGCCTTTGTCCCTGATGAAGATATTATCTTTATGATCTTGGATTGAAAACAGACCTACTCTGGAGGAACATATTGTATTTATTGCTCTTGACAGTAAACAAATCTGTTGTAAGAGACATTATCTTTATTATCTAGGACAGTACACAATCCTGGATCTGAGAGAGATATCATCTTGCAAGGATGCCTGCTACACAAACATTCTTGAAAAGACAATCCAGAAAAAAAAAGGTGTTGCTGTCTTTGCTCTGAAGACACACAGATACGTGACAGAACCATGGAGAATTGCCTCCCAACACTGTTCAGCCAGAGTCTTCCACCCTTGTCTGCAGGACAATCTCAACGTTCCACCATTAAATACTTTTTCTATCACATCCCGCTTCTTTATGCCTAACCAAGGTTCTGAGTCCCGATCCTGACTGTGTCTGGTAGCACTTCACTGCCAAATCCAGAATAAGGCAGTGCTCAGGATCCTGAAGGGGCATGGCTGGGGATCAGTAGTTCGAGATCAGCCTGGCCAACATGGTGAAACCCCGGCTCTACTGAAAAAATACAAAAATTAGCCAGGTGTGGTAGCATGTGCCTGTAGTCCCAGCTACTTGGGAGACTGAGGCAGAAGAATTGCTTGAACCTGGGGGAGGTTGCAGTGAGCTGAGATCGCACCACTGCACTCCAGCGAGACTCTGTCTAGAAAAAAAAAAAGAAAAGAAAAGAAAATGAGATTACAAAATCATTTGATCATAAGCAGAGATAATTGAAGAGTATGAGGACAAAGGAATCTAGGAGAAAAGCCTTATAAGGCATTTAAGACAGTTGCTAAGTTAAAAAAATTATGTATCTTCTAAATTTTGCATTGATTTTGTTACTGTGTACTCTTTTAAATAGTTCCTGTATTATTCCTTTTATCATTTAGATATGCTGTTTGCATTTGTTATTTCTTTTCTCATTAGAATAATCAGGGTTATACCTAAGTTTATATTAAGAATCTTTTATTTTGTTTTTTTTTCAAGAAGCTGAAGACCTTAGAAAACCTGATCAACATGAAGTGTGGCATGAAGTAGTACTAGATAAAGAGAAAACGTGATGGTAGTCTTGAAGAAAAGCACCATATTCATC